ATCTTGTGTCCAGCAGGAAATCTTCACAAATCAACATTTGCATATTAGATGACCTAATGAGGATTTTAATGTGGATTTTTTTTGCAGAAAAAACATCTGACACACATTATTGCTCTGAACAGACTATATATGTCGTATTACATGTTTGGAGGAGATCTTTTTGGATTTCTAAGAATACATTTAATTCTGATTAACAGTTTGCTAATCAAGTATGTGTTACTTTTTAAGACTGTTCTGTTTATCAGGGACTAGCTAATAAACTTTGGCAGCTCTTTGGGTGTTTTTATCACATGCAAACTTTCAATGATTAGCATTGTTTATCTTATGTAAATTTAGCATGTGTTCAGGTATCATTTAAAAAATTTGAGTGAGGGCTGGTTTTAACCATCTAGATACCACACATTTGCGGAGTATATAAGATGCATTTGATTGACACGGTGAACACATTTAACACGTAACTTTGCTTTTGTATCATTTAATTTTGAAAATATACTGCATTTTTCAAAGAAACAGTATGAAAAAGGACACTACAGTAGAGTGTAACAAGTTCTGTGACAACAAAGCCTGGATAAAAAAATAATCACATCTTACCAAAACAGCATTTAAAAAAAAAAAAAATACTATTTTAGCAGAAAAACTAAACATGCAAAATATTCTGCTGTGGTAGTATGGTGAGTAGATTACAAAGGTACTGTCTAATGAAATTAATTGTATGTGGTGAGTGGTTGAGTGGTGTTTTTGCAATGATCTTCCACTTCCGCTAGAGTTTGGTATCTGTTAACTGAAAAAGAAAAATAGTCCAGTTAGTGCCAGAGTTATAAAACTATGAAATAAAAAAATTAAAGCATGGAAACTGCTATAATACACAAGATGACTCAAAAACTTTTATCTACTCCAATAAAAGTCTTAATTTTAAGTCATAACTGGCCCCTAGCTTAGGTATGTAGTGTCAATAGGTTTCAAAGGTGGTTTTGTTCTGCTTCTATCCCTTTCTGATCTTACAGCAACTTACTAATAACTGTACAAGAGATATTTTTGATACCCAATTCTTCTTGATAAATATATTTTTTCTGCACATCAAGACATTCTCCCTGAGAATGATGATAAAAAAATATATACATTATTTAGTAAACTAAGTAAGTAAATACCCTAAACAACAGTAATAATAATAAGAAAATATAATTACAAAGATAAAAAATCATAAAAAGAATATAAGAAGCAGACTTACAAAGCTTGTATACAAAACAAGTTTTACATTATCTGGTCACGTCTTTCGTACTAACTTGGTTTTCCAGAAATATTACATCTATGTTGCCCTCTGCTGGACAACACTAAATCACAACGCACCTCCTCACTTTGTTTTCTGAGGTGTGGTTTGATTTGAATGTGCCATAGCAATTTCACATCACATTAAAAACATTCAGTTATTAAAGACGAAATAATTCTCCTTTTGTGTTTTAAATTTAATTATGACACAGTAAATGCATACATTCAAAGGAAATACATATTACAATAGCAATTGTGTTTCACTTTATTTCTTTGATTTGTTTTTTATTTAGGCATGTTAAATCTTTTATACCATAGTGCCAGCCTGAAGCTAAAACTGATGTTTTTAACTCCATAACACTGAGGCTTCTAGGGGCCACCAGAACTAATTAATATATTTTCTTCTATACTAAGCATCCACACAGAAGCCCAGTACAGAAAGAATGATATATAAATAGTGTTACTTACCACCCTGCCATTGCTTTTTTTGTCTTTGTGTTTGTCAAGCACATGCAGCATGGCGTCATGGAGGGTCGGGAAGAACATGGAGGTAAGAATCTCATCATCGAAGAACATGCAGCTGTGTAGTTTCTCCAGGATGTATGCTGTCGAGACATGAGAGGCATGTTACTGGATTTCACAGGCAATTTCACATAATGCTCAGTGAATGTGTCATCACTGATTCTGGAATATTGCGCTTTATGAAATATTAATAACACTCACCATCACAGGAAACAATGTAAACGTCCACGTCAATGTGGATGAACTCTTTGAGCGTCTGCAATGCAGGGAGTTTTTAAGTTAGAAATATATTATAATGTAAATCCCACATTTGTATGTGTTGATTTACATATGCAGCGTGATGAATGCGATGTACATATATATGTTATATGTATATACATATGTTGGATTCTCAATTAATTTGACCACCTTGGTGTGGCACGTCTGTGCTAAAGTCTAAAGGTGTTTTTGGCCATAGGTTATAATGGAAGTGTAGTATCCAACATAGTCTTTTTTTTATTAAATCTTTTTTTACTTGGTATTCTGAACAGTGTCTGGAGATTCACCTGAAGATTTACAGGTCCAATTTGATTTATTTGGAATAAATAAAAAATAATTTCTGCCTATAGACATCCAAAGTGTACCAACAGAAAATCCAAGGAATGTTACAGTCTTTCCGACACTGAATTGTAAAGCCTTAAACACAAAGTCACAACAAAATGGGTGTTGCACCAAAGGATATTGTCAAAATTAAAAGTTTCTTTGTAGAAGCTGATTGCATTTAAATGTATTTTGTTTTCATACTATTAAACCTTCTGATGGTGAACCACTGGATATGGAAGCCAAGAACTGCTGTGATTGCAAATTTTTTTAAGGCTGTTATCTTGAAATCTCAAAAAAAAGAGATACAATCATCAATTATAGCAAGAAAGAAAAAGGTTGTTTTCCTTTTCTCGAAATAGCAGCATTAAAATAATAATCGCAAGAATGGCTTCTGTAACTGGGGGGCTTTTAGTCTCATTTAAAGCTGAAATAATTTATTATTTAATTTTTAATTTATTAGTTAATCTAAAAGAAATTTAAATTTTTTTTTATAATTGAATAATTGTTTCACTGGTTCCAGATTCTTAAAAAAGGAATACTTGCTGCTTTTCTTACTCTTCTGTGATAACAAATGGAATACCTTTGGGTTTTAGACTGTTGGTGGGGCAATTTGATCATGGTGCCTTGGGCTATGGGAAAACATGATATGCGTTTTCCACTTTTTGGCTGGCTTGCTGTGAAGATGACACCTTCTACAATGCCCTCAACTGTGTGACTTTATACCATTTTGAGTCCCTTCAGAGCAGAGATATCCAGGAAGGAGACAGCAGAGAAGTCCAAGATCAGGCTGTGGAGGTCCACTCTGGGAACGCTGATGTTAGCGGGAAGCTCGGCGTTCCAGTCAATCCGGAAAGAAAGGTCCTTGAGGTCAGTGGGCAGATCCAACTCCTCCATGTTCATGTCATCAGTCGTCTGGCTGAATAAATCCCTCAAACCTTTCTGTTTGACGGATGCACAAAAGGTTGCTTAGAGTTTTTTGGGAGAACACTTTGAAACAGGTGTAGTAGTTTCTAGAGCATTTAAGGTCTCACCTCTGTAGTGTCATTACTTTTCTTCAATAGTTTCTTGATTTTCCTGAGAGCCTTGTTCCTCTTCCTCAAAACCCTTAGAGGGTTAAACCCAACCTGGAACAACCAAGTGTTATGTGTTCATGTTCATACACACCTTTATAATTTTCTAAGTAAAGCAAACTGAGGCAGAGGAGAGATGTATCGTACATACAGCTTCTACAAGCTTGTCCTTGAAGAACTCAATATTGGCAAAGAAGATAGGCGAGGGTATCCTGAAGATTTTTACTCCCTTTGGTTCGAATATCTGAGAAGGAAAGCATCATGAAGAAAACAAAGGTGATTCAGTAGGGTATCACAACAACACTGATCTGAAACCATTCAGCAGTGTTATGTGTATTTGATTTCACTTAACAAACTTACATGCAGGTAATCTTTGTGATCTCTGTAGAGGTCGGTCCCTTGGATGTTAGCCAAGACAGAACAGCGGGGGCTAGAACAACATAAAGAGGGTTAGGGTCTACTAGGGCCACACATGCTGTAATCATAGAGAGGCACTGTACTTTGAAAAGTGACCACCAAATGGCATCCTGGCCACTGTCATAGTAGCAAGAGGAGTCTATAGATCTGATCAGCCCCAGTGTTTGAGATGAACACACAGAAAGATGATGCAGACTTACTGTGGGGTGAAGGCTGATAGGACAGGTGTGGATTGACCTAAAACTCTTTGGCTGTATCTGAAATCACTCACTCATTATTCCTTTTCTTTTCTAATTTCTGTTCCCCTTATTTTTATGTTTCAGGTTGATTTTGTTACTAATGTCTCTATGGATAGTGTCCAGCCACCATAGTCCAGATGAAAGATATTGCCTGACTTATTTTGACCCTGGCTTTGTCTCTCAGGATATAATTGCTGCCCTACCTTACTGGTGATGGTTGTTCACTTGTTTCACCCTCCCTTTTCAAGTGTGAGGGAGAAACTATGGTGACTGTAAAACACACATAAAACGCCCTTATCTCAAGCCAGTGCTTTGTTTGTCTTTCCTAGGCTACTGTAGAAACATGGCATTTCAACATGGTGGACTCCATGGAAGACAACCCGGGCATCTGTAGATATAAACATCTCATTCTAAGGTAACAAAAACACAACGATTCCTTTATCAGGTGATTATACTCTAACGAAAAAAAATACCTATAAATATTATATTCCATTTCTAACAATAGATCCTCCTAAATGTTACACACTGGTCCTTTAAGTACCAGGTCTCTATCAAGGAAAAGAATGTTATTTTAATTAGGGTCAGTGCATTGATAATACATTTCTTGTTTCCTTCCTTGATGATTCATTGATTTCTAATGTACAGGTTGACATAATACTTCTTTTTGATGTTGCTGCCCTTATGGAAAGAACAAAAAACGTGCTATTATGTACGGTATATATACACATATATACCCAGATAAACCAAATTCCTGTGAAATGTATTCATGTAAAAATTGAGGCAGTTACATTCCTCTAAGATAAATGTATTTACTTTATGGAGTTCCCCACACTATAATTTAGTTAATAAGGAGTGATTTCAGACACAGCGTTTGTCTAGAGGAGTTTTGAGTGGGCAGCAACAGGATGAACACCAGGCTCAACACACTGTGACTGAAAGTGTTCTTGAGCAAGACAACACACTTTTAACTGTACACAATTTTGCTGCTTAGATTTGGATTATTCTTCGTTTTTTATCTGTTTCTTGTAAATTGGCAACTTTATGAAAGCAAAATGCTGGAGTGCGCCTTTAAAGGACCAGTATGATTTTTAATTTTAAGTTAATGTTAGTTATTATTAAGCATAATTACTGTACCCCAAATTTGGGGTGTTGATAGAGTTTTTTTTACCCGCTACAGTAAATCCATGATTTTAAAATCTTTTCCTTTTCGCAGTCAGTTTGCATATTGAGAAATATCAGATATCACAAATTAAATTACAATTGAGTTCTGAAGACGACAGTGAGCAGCTCCACCCCCAAGCCCACCGCCAGACCAATATCCAGCCCCAGCAGGATGGCACCCAGACATGTTACCACCCACACCACCTGCAGACAAAAACACCTGAGGTCAAACACTGAAAGAGACAGTTTCACAGTTTTGGCAGTGCACTAAAGGACATTTTGAACACCTACACAGTCTGGTTTGTCCTTCCTCCACAAGTACAGGATTTCACTGAACTGCATCAGCATGCCCTTCAGGTTGACGATGACCAAGGCGCCCAGGACAGACTGGAGAAAAGTCATACATTAAGGGTATTTAGGAGAGAAAAAAACCCTACTTTTAGACCTATAGATTGAGCTTTCTCCTGTACATGAATAGATAAACGTGAGTCTCACCTTGGGAAGTGGTTCCAGCAGGAAGCCAAGTGCCACAGTCACAATCATCGCCATCATGGCCGAGATCAGCCCTGCAATCTGCATTTGTAAAAGAAGTTAATGTTTCATTTTAACAGTCCAGTGAAGAAAATTAATGTGAAACTGTAAAGCAGCATTACAATAAATCTTTTTGGACACAAAACATCTGCGTGTAGTGACCTAGTAAAGGTTGGTGACCCAGGAAACAGGCGCTGTAAATGGCGATCTTTGTTTTCTGACCTGTGTTTTTCCTCCCGAGCTCTCCTGCACAGCTGTCCTGGAGAGCGCTGTGCTGGCTGCAAACGACCTGAAGCTTGCTCCAAATATGTTGCTAACCCCAAATGCAATGAGTTCCTGGGATGGAACAATGGGAAATTTTGACTGGATTGATTCTGTTTGACCTACTCCGTAACACATCTAACCTTGAGATAAAAACAATATTCAATGTAACTTTATATCTTCATTACCAAAATTATGAGGAGTCTTACTCGCTGTATCAGTAACCAATTAACTCCTTTTCCTCTGCCAGAGCCAGACATGGATAAACAGTGTTGGTATATGTCACTCACCTGGTTCCCATCAATGGTGTAATCGTGTTTGATAGAGTAGACTTTGGCCACAGAGAAAGCAACAGCAAACCCCACTATGGCTATAGGAAATGCCTCCACAGCACTATTCTGGATGACTTGCATATTGGGAGCAATGGGAGTCTCATACCTGAAAGAGGATTGTGTTTAATTGTGCATTTAAAGGATCTGAACACTGGTGAAAAGTAGCTATGTACATGTTAGTGACTTAAGTATAATTTTGAGATACTTAACTTGAGTATTTCTATTTTATGCTACTTTATACTTTTACTCAACTGCACTTTAGAGAGAAATATTGTACATACGATAAGCTTACAAAATAAAATGCATTGTTAATGATCAAACTGATGTTTTCCATCCTTTTTAGCTCCTAATTCCTTACTCCTTCCTTACTGGAGTCAGATTTGTGTAGCAAAACAATTTGTTCTTTCTTTTTTAAAGCTGCAGTTTAAAGCTCACAGAAGTACATGGGACAGATAATCTGTGAAAAAAATCTGGTTTCTCTGGCTCGTTGTAGTGCTCCTAATGGTATTTGAGAGAATCCACCAGGCCTGAACAAAAATAACCAATCAGAACAAAGAAAGATATAAAGATGCTTTCGGTTGGAGGCTTGAAGATTGACTGTTGAATCCCATTCCCTGATTTTTTCACAGATTATCTGTCTCATGTACTACTGTCAGGACATATATATATATATATATATATATATATATATATAATGTCAGTTTTCTGCATAACAAGCGTCACTTTTGATTTGACAGTTCACCCCAAAATTAATAATTTAGTGCCATCTGGTTCCATTATAATGGAGAGAGGCAGAAATCTCTATGGCCTATATCTTCAAAACTGAACAGCTCACACCAAAACTATCTAGATTGATAAACAGCACTACAGGTAAGAGGAAAATATGTACTTTTGTTTTTGTCCAACTGTCCATTTAATAAGCAAAATAAACATTTTGTTGATAATACTATTTGTTCATGTACAGAAGTAAAGTAGTATTTCTTCCACTACTGGATCCTAATTACCTGACGAAACAGCAGCCAGCCTGTAACATACTGAACTTGAAACTTACCCACTGACCATTTTGCCAACAACACCAACATCAAATCTCTCCTTGAAGTTGAAGCCATAGGACACCCCACAAGCTATGATAGTCTGTGTGAATAGAAAAGACACCTGAGAGTTAGAGGCTTTGGCACCTATTGATTTCCATTCATCAACTTGCAGAAACATTACACAAGCTTGAGGTAATGCGTTCTTTTCCTGCTATAACAAGTCAAAATGTGTGCTGTGAAAAAGACATATCCAGGTGTTTTGGAAGCTATTTTCTGTTGATGTGTTCAAAAACTTGAGGGAAACGCCTCATACTTGAGGGCTGGCTGCTGAATATCAACAGTTTTAATGCGAGGAACTCACAAGATCTATTCCTACAACTCCTATGTTATCTTCCTTTGTCCTCTGGGTTTGAGTCTACATGAACACAATTTGTTAATGCAATGCTTTACGACAAACAACTTTCAAACCCCAGGTTTTAGAGCTTCCTTAATTGCCACAAACAGTGAGGATTTACACAACTACTGTACATTATTACACAATAATGGTGTTAACATTGGCAAAACAAATAAAGGCCTAAAATACTTGGGGGAAAGTGGTAGTAAGGTAACGTATACATGATTTGTAGTTAAAAGATAAATTGTGCAGGTGGAGTGTGTTCCTTTAAGGGTTCTCTCACCGTGATAACTTCTATGGGGATGGGAACAGGCAGCTTGGCTTTGTATATGTTATTCAGCTCCTTCACAATAAATACCACCATCATGATCAGTATGGACATCACCAGATCACAGATGTTGGTGGAGGTGATCTGGACAAAGATCTTCTCCAGGGTCTGTGCAAAAGAAGCAAACACACTTTACTTAGCACTTTGAGCATGATTAAAATGAAAAATAGTCACACATGCATATCCTGTACTGCTTTACAGTAAATTCATATTGTTGCGAAAGCCTATACAACCACTCATGAACATAAATACCACCACTGGGATTTTCTGTAATGTTACTTTAGCTAAATCAAGTAAGTAAGATAGGAAGAAATATATTTTATGTAGCCTGCAGTCTTGCTGATCACTTAACTAAAACTCA